CATTAAATACTATAAATGCATCAATATATAAAACAACATTAAATCCTAATAAACAGTTGCATTGTTGACCAAAGAAGTATAAATTCTTATTATAAGATAAGAAATAATAATAAAAATTAAAACTATAAATCTAGTACATAATACAAATTCCATTTACATTCAAGGAATCAAAAAACAAAATCCAACGATAAATAAATCTTGGTTCAATTAAAGTAGCTCAAAAAATTAAAGCCTAGTAAATCCAAAGTTTATATAACTAAATAATAAACAACATTAAATCCAAAAGTAATAATTTTTTATCATAAGATAAGAAATAATAAAAAAATTAAAGCTTATAATAGAATTACATTTACATTCAAACAATCAAAGTTGCTCAAAAAATTAAACCCTAAAAATTATATATATATATTATTGACTTTATCTTAAAGAAATTATATATATTATATATTATTGACTTGATTCTAAATAAATTATATAAAAGTAATACATATCTTTTTAGTAATAGTGAACGTTTAGGGAATGTTTTATATAATTTTTATTTTATTGGCTCTTTCGTTTTTTGCTGTTTCAGATCGTATTCGATAAACAAAAATGTATAAATATTTTCCCAAAAGGGGCGCCTTTGTAAAATTACATATTTATCACTTTTTAGTTATTTTTTTTTCACGTATTTGATATAATTTCAAGAATTATTCATCTTGTAAATTAAAATAACAGTAAGAAATTGCTAATCGCTAAAAGAAATTCAATTTTTATTTATAATAAATATGTTCAATTAAGTTAATAATATATGAATCAGAATGTATTTCATATATGACTCCCTAAATATTAAAAATAATTGGTATAAATATATTAAAAAATCTGACAAATAACTCACTTTTAAAGGTTTCTAATTTTTAGGTTACCCCTTTACTTTCTTGTGGTGACAATTTATAGTTACGGCGGTAGTAATTAAACGTGAAACCAGGTGGTGACATTTTAGCAAGTAAATGTCGTCTATATTTGGAAACGTAAAGGATTTAGAAAGTCAGGATGGTTCTGATTCTGCCCTAAAACAAAGGCTAAGCACAAATTCGAATCAAAAACACAAGTTCCTGATATTTCTCTCAAGATTATACTTTCATCATAATATGATAAATATTCTATAGTGCTTTCTATCGAATTCGAATACATTTTACATTTGAATCGATGTAGACCTGTCGAAATCACTGTGTGAATTTTCTGAGCTCCAGAGATCGACCTAGTCTTTTTTGAAAATCATCTCTGACTAGTACTTCTTCGTCGTCTAAATTTTCTATGACAATTATTATTATCTTTAGTGAATTCGTACAATTCATATGATGTTGTTATTTGCTGTTAGTATGATGTGTTTGTAAAATTGCCTTAACAGCTAATCTTGTAACAATGCCACATTATTTCTGGAGAGATAGTGGAATGACATTTCGCCTGTGCCTTAAAATCTATCTCGATGTCATATATTGATAAAAATTTTACGCTTTTTATACTGTGCAGCAGATCTATCCGAAATAAAAAAAAATATATTAATGAAGTAATGTACTGATATTGTGTGATGTTTTAAAGGTTTGGATTATTACGTAATTTCGAGGAATAAGTATTTAAAATTATCTTTATAATAAATAACAAATGACAGTAGACAGAGCCCTATTCCAATGATAACTTCGTACTTCATCTTGTTACCTGAAAAATCCCATAAAATTAAATATCGATTTTAGATGGTTTAGATACAACGATTACTTCCGTTGAAATAAAAGAATGGGGTAATTAAAGGTTCCATTATTTTTTGCATAAAAGGCATTGATAAATTCATCTACCAGTTTGGTGATTCTTTCAAGAGTGGTTCTATAAATTCGATTAGAACGAAACGATATTTCTATTTTGTTTGCGCAAATATTTTCACCCGAGACAATAATCACAAAGGCCCATATAACAGGATGGATGAGGGTCTGAATGCTTTAAAATGTGACATATCAACTTTGATCCTACGATCTGATTTATAAAATTTTGATGGTAGCTGCAAACACATATATTGCGTATACTACTACCTGGTGCGAATATACATTCTTTTGGCTGAATGAGTGCAAATTTTGAAAAAATACCAATTTTAACTTCAGGTCAAATTTTTTTTCCCCATATTATCGAAAATTAATCTTTTCTATATGATATTCTTTTCACCGTCTTTGGTCGAAATCGAGATGCAATCTTTCTCGCCTGGCACGATTCGGTTTATTTCAATTTTAACCGTATATTCTTCTACAGTTTTTCCAGGTTTGGGATCAGGTGGTTGAATAGAAACCTCTTTTCCGCTATCGGTAATTTAGCTCGTCTTGCTATACATCTTGTTAGTGTTGTTAAACGGCTCGTTTTGAGCCGATTTTTAAAAACGGCTAACTCAAAATTTTAGCCTGAAAAATATTGCCTAAGCCTCGAGATTTCGATAATATATGTAATAAACCTTTGTTCCTTCTATGTACAAAATCTTCAGGCCTGAGTAATATCTTTCTGGATGAAGTATTGAGTTAGCCGTTTTTCAAAATCGGCTCAAAACGAGCCGTTTAACAACACTACATCTTGTAGTGTATTAAATTCAATCTTAATTTTGAACACTCGAGGTTATGTGGGTAAAATTTTATATCGGCGCCATAATATTAAATATACAAGATTCTGATTCGCATATTCAATAACTCTAGACTTGAATTTAACTTATTTTATTAATATTCATCAAATATATTGTTATATGGGCAAATAATTTTATACCCCCCCCCCATTTCCTCCGGTTGATTGTAATTTTTACTTGAAAGATAAATAATCCTTTAAAATTTTTATCAAATACGTTAATAAAAACCATAAAACTATAGTATATTTATACACTTTTCTAATCATTTTTTATCGATTTAGAAAATGAAACTAGCCGCGTCCCAGATCAATATTTTATAAATATTAAAGGGGAGTTTAGTAATGTCTACTAAATTTTTTATAAAAATTGAAGTTAGTAATTATTTCCAAAAAATCGTGTTTATCTCTTAAAAATTAATTAAAATGACTATATATTAGAAAAAATCAAAAAAAAAAAATTTTTTTTTTAATCTTAAGGTATTATAATCTGTGTATGTTATTTTGATATGTAAAAATATATCAAATTACTAAATAAAAATATATATTAATAGTATCTAAGTCTAAAAAGAGCTTAATTTAATAATTAAAATGTACCTAAAAAACAAGTATAATTGTGTTTAAAAATTTCCAATTGAAGTTTTTGTTTTAAAAATCATTCGCGATTTTCGTTTGTTATACTAAAAAATTTTCGTGATAAAGTTTTTAAAAAAATTTATGTAGACTGTGAAAAATGTTAGTTGAATAATTTTGAATATTTATTAATTTTTTTTATTTTCCCCACAAGTAAGAGGGTTTATATTAATTGATGAAGGAAAGGGTGATATGCAGGTTGCATCCCAATTTCAGCCAATAGTCATTTCAACTAACGGCAATTTTTCAGTCATATATTTTTTTAAAAACTTTATTACGAAAAATTTTTAGGATAACAAACGAAAATCGCGAATCCATAATTCTTAAACAAAAACTTCAATTGGAAATTTTTAAACACAATTATACTTGTTTTTTAGGTACATTTTCATGATTAAATTAAGCTCTTTTTAGAGCCTTCGATACTATTAATATATATTTTTATTTAGTAATTTTATATATTTTTACATATTTTTATATAGTTGTTTTAATATTTTAGTGTTTTATATTTTTTTTTAAATTTTGATATTAAATTTGTTATTTACAATTATATTGTTTTTAAGATGTGTTTAATTGCAGATAATGGTATAAATATGTCATTTTTGCCACTTTGAACTCTAATTATTCTAAAAATATAAATGTCAGGAAACTAATAGTTACAATAATAATTTTTAGCTTACCAAATTATAAAAAAATGTAGGGAGTCAGTCAAAAATTTTAATATTTTTGCTCATTTGACATGAAAAGACCCTATTATAGTAAAATTATTTAATGGTAAATATTTTTTCTTTCCTATAGTTTATATGTAATTTTTGACTATAAATTATAAATTAGTTTTCTAAGACCTAAATAAATAATCCTTTTATTTAAAGGACAAATTAAAATGGTATAATATTATTAACTATAAAAAAAATTATAATAATTAGGGTAAATATTTAAAAACTATTTTATTTTTTCTTTATAAACTAGGTAAGTAATTTCTAATGATATAGATTTAAATAGTTTTGAAATGGAATAAAATGTGTTAACAGGATGTATAATTCTATGATATACAATATTTAAATAAATTCTATTTTTGTATTATATATGATAATAGTTAAATTTAAAATATTTAGATTTTATAATTTTTGGATAGGCTTAGTTTATATAAAAATACAATTTTATAGACTGGACCAAATATCCGGGCCAGGCTTTGGTCCAGACTTACAGGTTTCTGATAAATATAAATTATATTTTAATAAATTATTTATTAATCATAATATATATATCATACCACCCTGTCACCAAATTTTTACATTGGTGGTGATGTATTGGATTGATGATACACAGGTCTAGGTTTAGTTGATTTCATTTTAGATAAAAGTTTGGTATTGGCTAAAAATATATAAAACTAGATTTCACAATTTTAAAAGTTGTTTAAAATAAGAAAAGATTCTGCTTGATCCAAAAATATATGTCATGGGTAGAATATTTAATTTTTAAAACGGGCATATATATATTTTGAGTAAAATAATTTTTCAAGGACTAGGTAAAAATTATACATCATGTAATATGTTAATAGAACAGTTTTTGATAAATATTAAAAAGTATTAGTTGTGGAAAAAGGCAGATCTTAACAGCCCTCCTTTCATTACACTATGAATAAGAAAAAATCTTATTTTATATTATAATTTTATTTTACTAAGATAAATAAATAAATAATAAAAAATGTCATTAAGATAATTTAAATGAAAATTAACTTTCTGATATTCCACCACCAATATTCATGACACCAATTGATAAAGGATAAATTTTCCCAAATTAGGCATAGAGCCCAGAATGTAATCAATGTTAAGCCATGCCCTCTAGGTGGCAAACCAGGCATTGTCCTCTTTCTTTCCAAAAATATTAATTTCAGGCACATCATCCAGGATGCAAAATATAAAAATCCCACAATGATAGTATAATAGTAAAACTTATCTTTTGGGTCAACAACATAAATATTTTGCATTTTTACAGTATTCTGGAGTATAACTCGAATGAGTGATAGTGAGGAAATAAAGCATATTAGAGTAACTTGAAAATGGAATCCAAATGTATTTGCCCTATTAAAAATATTAGAAAAATTAAGATTTAAATTATTAAGTATATAAATACAAAAAAAGGATCAATCATTTTTTCCATAAATTTTTATACCTTTGCCAATATTCAAGTTCTATAGAGTATTTTTTATATATACGAATTTGAATTAAGCCAAATATAAATATAAAAATAAATATCGACGTGCTAGATAAGGTTTCAATAAAGCATGGGTTAAACCCGTGTTCCCATTTAAAGAAATCTCTACTATTAATCCTAGGACAGAACTGCATTATGAGAATTTCTCAAACTTTATATTACATTTTTTAAATTAAAAATAAGTTTAAGAAAATGTATCCGCAAAAACACGAATATAGGGTGATTGATGGGTAAATTAAAATTGCTGAGCTATAATTATTAGAACTATTGATTGAATTTTATGAGTAAGTTATGATTAAGCTAGTCATCGGTCAACTAAACAAGCCCTTAGTTAATTTTAGTGCCGAAGCCTGAAGAAATCCAATATCTATAATGATAGAAATATTTTTAGAAGTAAATTCTCTCCAAACTATTCCAATAACTGGAAAGACATTAGTTAAAGATAATATCGAAAATATAAATTTTACAATTTAAATTCAAGTCAAGTTTTTGGCAAATTCTTGAACTTTTGAAATATTTATATGAAGGTTAAAAGAGAAGTGTAATTGTTACAGATAACCTAGGATAAAGGAACAAAAGAGACTTGATATGAGTCAGTCGAGCAAAACTATGATTTTATTTTACCTTATTAAATTTTCCGGATTTCTTAATTTATCAATTGATAATTGCCTAATCCTACAACCTCACACACTGCCCAAAGGGTCGTGAGTAAAATAAAACTAATTAAAACAAGACTTTGGAGTACCATGAAAGATCCAAATCTTGATAATTTAACCATATCAATAGAACAAAATTTATTTTGACAAATAAATATCTATAAAATTATAATCCTTTCTTCTTGCTTTATCTTCACCATTTGTTTACATTATTAATTTTAAAAAAATATTTTTTAAATTTATTAGCTTCCTATTTTAAATATTTTTTAAAGTTTAGTTTAATTTATATTTTTTGCAATAAAAATTATTTCACACATTATTTTTGAAATTTATAACGAGGTTAGAGTATAAAAGTTGGTTGGGGGTATCTTTTCATGGGATATTTTGTTTCCTTAGCTTAGGGGGTGTAAAGGCTATTGATTGGTAATATATATGCAGAATTTATGAAATATTTGTACCTTTTTAAAATACAATTCACCAAAGCAATAATAACAAATTTCCAAAGATATGGAGGTCAGAAACCTTTTTGGGGAAGAAATTAGCACAAACTCTAAAAAAAAACAAAATGCCACATCAAGTTGTTTTCTACAATTTAGTAATTTTAATAACTTAATATTCCTAACGTATATTCATGGATATCAACCTCGTTCCTTTATATTTTAATATCCGAAAAAACTTTTATATAATTAGGGCTTACCGTAATGATAGAAAATGGCCGCTTTCAAAACATACAAGCTTCTGTTGATTTGAGCCACAACAGTAACAACATCAATTATTATTACTAAGCGACTTATTTTATTTCTTTAAACGCTCAGAATTATTTTCCCTTAATTGCTCATAAATAAAAATACCAAATGCTAATAATTTTTAATTATTTTCTTCGAAATATCTAAGAAAATTTTTTTTTTCTAAGTAAAATTTTTTATTTCTTTAGAATTTATTTGAATTTTCTCACATGATATCAGAGACGTGTAAACCCAGCCCGGAACCTGGTACGAAATGGAAGGGGTCAAAAACATGATTTTAATAAAAAAATATGGGCTCGACCGATTTTAAAAAAACTGAATTTAGTTACCAATTAATCAGTTGGAAAATCACATGTTTAACATTCATTTTCTTTTCATTTCAATTTCCCATTGAAAAATAATCTTTAAAATTCAAAATTATTCAAAATAACGAAATTTTAAAAATTCCATAATAAAAATATAAGCTAAAATAAAAATCAGGGTAGGTCTAAATAAATATTTGAATAAAATTTAAATATTTTATTAGTATTGAAAGCTAATAAAAAAATATATTTTGTTTCGAGTGTCACTTATAATCATCACTGTCCAACAGATCGGCAAATCAATTTAGATTTTTTATCACACTCCGTAGTTTCTTTTTTGTAATCCTCTTTTTTAGTAATCTGTTTTAGGCTACGTTTTTAGAAAAATTAACATAATTTTTTTAGAAATAACTTTCTTATATATATATATATATATACACCTAAAATTGTAATTATGCATATGTTTTATTAATATATAAAATGTTTCTGTTATTTTTTTACCAGAAATACAAATGTGCACATTTCAAATCTTTTTAAATTGAAATTAATTTTAAATAAAATACTAGAAACTATATACAATATTGATCTTATCGCTTTTTGCAAGTGTAATAGCAGTTCACTATTGCAGAAATATAATACCAAATTATCATATATATATAACGCGTATAACAAGGCATTCGAAGATAAAATAAAAATGGGAAAATAAAATTAAGAATGATAGAAATAAATAAGTGATATTTTATATCAGCTTACGTTACGTAACTTATTTTATTTAGATAGAAATTACAATCACTTCTTTAAGCCACTATTTTAAAAATATATTTTTTTTAAGAAAAATATTTATCGACACCTAGAATTCTTATTTATGCAATACATATTTTAAATAAAATGTTATAAATATATATAATGTATTTTTAAATCTGTAAATCATTTAAAAATGATCAACTTCACGTATATATAAAATTATGGCAGAATATATTTAAATAATATTTATAAAGTGTTCCATATTCTATATAATAATGCCGAATGTTGATCCGTGAGCTATGATTACTATCTTCATAATTGTAAGTATTAGGATTACAATAAAATATAAAACTATCTACTGAATAAGTCGAGTTTATTATAAAAATAATTTATTTTTTGCAAAGGCCTCAATAGAATTTTAAGAACATTTTAAAGGCTTAATAGAACTTACAATTATTATACGAAAATATGGTATTTTATCTGGTACTTTTATATCATAACAACCTATACAATATCGGAAGCCTAATATATAATATGATTATAGGTTATAACAATTTTACTCTCTAGATCTTGGTAATAAAAAAATAAATAAAGCGGCATAATAAGTTTAGCCTGGCCAGCATATTTTGTGTTATAATTTTCAATCATAGCACCACGAGGGTTTTGAATAAACCTTTAATTTATTAGCGAAAATTTTTGTAATCAAATATTTTGTTGAATATTTGTATTGTATTATCTTAAGGTAGTTTAACGTAATTTACAGGAAAATATTATTTGTAGCCTCATTTAAAGTATTTCCAAAGAAAATCAAATGTTTATCATTAGAAAATATCTTTTAACCAATTTTTTTTAAGAATTTACCACATACATCCTTAAAAAAATTTATACATGAAATATGCATAAGGTTGTGTCCAAAACAATTTAAAAATTTTTAAGATATCGTGTGATAAATTTTTAACATTCATAAAATTTTCTAGAATTATGTTTTGGACATGTTTTTTTTTATATTTAAAATAGTCTATTTATTTTCATAAAAGTTTTGAGAGTTTATGAATTTAATTTTTTGATGTTTTGGACACAGTCATTGTAAACATTGTGCCTCTCGTCCTGGAATCATACCTCATAGTTAGGCCACTGTTTCGCCCCCCATATTTCCCAAATTGCGGGTCTTCGGCCCGGTTTTCCTCGGCCTTTGACCGGTTTTAATATGAATATATTATACTTTTATAAAATTGGTTAACTCTGAACAATTATTTTAAATTTCATATTTTGTCATTTATTATATTATGCATACAAAATAAACGGGCATATAAATAATTAAAACAATACAAGACATTTCTAAAAATAATATTTTTTAATACAAAATATACTTATTACAGTATAAAATATTTTTGATCTGATATAAAAAAAATTTGGGTCTAAAGAATTTCAAGTGATAAAATGATTAATTAATTCATATATATGCCTCAATTGATAATGGTTTTTAAAAACCACGTAATGCAATAATATAATTCTTAGCAACTTACATTGACAAAAGGTTTTCAAACTAATATAACTCTCTGTTACCATTTTAGACAATGTTTTATAGAATGGACTAATAAGGAAAATTTTATAGACCTAAATCAAATCAACATTTTTGAAGAGGAAAGTATAAACGACCAATACAAATCATAAAACTATATGGTGGTTAGAGCTTCCATCGAGAAAATTATTGTTAGATATTAAATTTCTAAAAGATTATCTTCCTTTTTAAATGATATATAAACGACTACACAGTTAACCATTATTGTTTATCTAAAATATACAATCATATGCTCTCAGCCGTTGTAGTAATAATTTTAAATTACATAGCAATACAAATAATAGATGTTGGTTAATTTGCAGTAATAGCCATAACACTCACGATGTAAACGGATATCAGAATTTATTATGTTATATAAATTGATAATAAAAACACTAAAAATCTTTGGAAGAAATAATTATGCAAATATATTGAAGCCTGGAGTTGTTTACACTGCAATGCCATATTAGAAATTAGTGTTGTTAAACGGCTCGTTTTGATCCGATTTTTTAAAACGGCTAACTCATAGCCAGAAAAATATTTTCTAAGCCCCGGGATTTCGCTAATAAATGTCTAAACCTTTGTTCCTTCTACAAACAAAATCTTCAGGTCTTGCGAATATTATTCTCGATGAAATATTGAGTTAGCCGTTTTTAAAAATCGGCTCAAAACGAGCCGTTTAACAACACTATTAGAAATGAAACATTTTCTAACTATAAAATAATGACCAGAATGATATGATGAAACAATTAAGATTTTATATATTGTTGCACCACCTTGGTATATTATATCTAAAAATAATAGTTTGTAACTCAAAACTGTTTTTAGAAAAAGAAAAATATGGCTTTCCTAAAAAACACGTAAAAAAAGAGAAGAATCAAATTTATTACATCTATTGCAGGATGAATAATAAAATGTCTAATTTTTTAAATTATTTACAACTAAATAGATGGCGTTAAATACTTAAATGCAAATTGTTACTATTATTATTATCAACCCAATTATTAGTAAAATTTATTATAATATTAACTGTAATATATTATAAAACTGTCAAATACGTCTATAAAAGTGGCATTTCTAATATTTTATAAAAACTGTATATAGTAGAGGATTACTTACTTTTTATAAAGAAATCTCTACTTATTTAAACCTTGAAAATATTTTCAGGAATAGGTATAATAATAAAATTTAAAACTAAAACAGTTTATTAGTCATTTTGAACTCGGCTAATTATAATATTAAATTTGTTAATTTTCAAATAATATATGATTATATTTATTAAATTAGAGTTATATAATAATTTAAATAATAAAAGTCAATTAAACTTCAACTGTTAAAGCTAAATTAATTAGTGAGTTATTGATATTATATTTTTAATACAAAATTTTGCAAGCTGACATAGTGAAAATATAATTTATATGTATTAATCTATTCTAATTAAAATAGTATTCATTTGATAAAAATTTAAAGTCTTATTAATTCTAAATAATAAAAAATCTATATATTACTTATGAAATTATAAAAGAAATCATTCAGGAGGCAATCAAAAAAATTTATTTGTAGTTCAAGTGGATATTAAGGAGCCATTAAAAAAAAAAATTTTGCTTCAGAGGGATATTCAAATTTTTCCACATAATATTTCTAAATTATTTGATCCCTCCTTTTAAATCGAATTGTATTACTATACTATTATCAATTTAGAATTTATATATTTAAGATATTTGATGACTTATTGTGATGCAAGTGTACATTTTAAATCAAATATATTTTTTATATAAAAACAGTCAATTGGGAAACCACATAATCGTCATAATCTAACATCTTTAAATTAGGCAGATACCATTTTGCTTTAAAAAGGTAAGAAAAATAAATTTCTAAATTTGCTTGTTAATGTATATATATTATACTTCGAGCTATATTTAAACAAATCAAGATTTAAAAAAATATTTTAAAATAGAGCAGAAAATTAAAAAGATATGGGTTTATATGTATTGCTATCATGAAGAGAAATGCGATTGCTTTTATGAATGGTCATCATAATTAGAGCCCTGCAAAGTTATTTTTTTCACGGCCTGAGCTCGACCTTAGCCCGAATTTTAAAATTTTTGTCCCAGCCCGCCGAGCATACATTTAGATCCATAAATATTATATTAGCAATGTCCGCACATTTTTTTATTTTAGAGTTCGGCTTAATTAATAGCAGATACCTAATCTTGCTGAAATTAACTCATGGGTAATCCCAAGCATCTGGAAGACCAAGGTATTAGGATAATATGATGTGGTTTTCTATTGTTGCTTGAGTATAAATGATTTAGTTCGAGTGTATTTGTGATATTAGCCCTTTTTAGGGTTTTTGATGCCGAGAAGCAATATTTGGAATATTTGCAGTGGAAATGGTATCCATTGAAATCTGAAGAAGAAATAAATAATACATTTTAAGGAGGCGATATAGCCCATTTAAGCGAAAGAGATATATGTATTTTTTTCATTAGTAATGGAAAGCCATATAATTTTAGTTACAATTGCTGACAAGCCTTGGTAGAGCTCGATTTAAAATTCAAAATAATAACTAGGTCATTATTCTAATAAATCACTTGATAAAAAGTAACCGACGGAGTGAGTTAATAATAGAATATCCCAAGCTTTAGAGTGTGGATGTGGGACTGATAATGCCAGATTAAAAATTGCTCAGTGTGAATGGCACCTTCTGGATTATGACCATAGGTATTATAAGAGTGATGAGGGATGGAAACAAATCTCGCCATTTTTTTATCAAGGGAGAAAGCAATGTAGCCAAGATTTCTAATCATAGCATCAAGCGCAGTGTTAATATGTAATGCTTGAACAGTAGATCTCTAATAGAAGATTGGGAAGGATATCAAATCATATATAATTTTGGGTATCTTAAAATAATTTCGATCTTACATTAATGTTTTCTGTGTCTTTCCTCGTACAAAATATAGGAAAAATTTTGATATAAAGCGTAAACAAATTTTATTTAAAAGCGTCTGTCAAAAATGTTTTCACCAGGCCGCCAATATTCCAAACACAATGCTTTTTTGGAATGTGGCCATTATGTAAAATATAATTCTTTTTTAGTATGGATAGATTTAATCAGTGCTTGCCTAATATTAGTCACTAGATTAAAAAGATAAAATAATATTAATTTAAATATAATCTAATATCAAACAATTTGTATGCAAAATAAACCTATCATATTGTATATGCGCATTGTTTTGGTATTGGTAGTATAACTGAATACATTATATTATTTAGAGTTATAAATTTATTTACATTTTATTATTGATTATAAATAAATTATAATATAAAATAATTTTTTTTAACATAAAAACATGTTATAAATTTTTTTTTCTAGAACACAGTATTTATATAGAGCAAGATAAAATCAACGACGATATATTGCACAAAATTTTGGCATTAAATACTTGATTGGTAAAGTGATGACTTCTAGTTGGGGTTTTTGAGCTTTTCATATTTCCTATCTCGTTAAGAAACATGATCTTTGCCATAATATATAGCATGGGGTATATATGTATATATACATACTATATATATAATATCAAATTCATTTTTATTTATTATTGTCTTCTGATATCGATTCTGAAGATGCTTGTTCTAAGTATATACTAACCGGCTGAGTCCTACCAGTATTTACAACGGGGCTATTGGGTCTATCATATTTTTCGTATTTCACGTTATCATTGTTAATCGCGAAATCAAAATATTCGTCACTTTCACTGCTCGCGTCTCCGATAAAATTATTTTTATGATTGACTAACTTCGTCTTGGCCAGATCTTGATTCAAAATAATACCTTCCCCTTCATCCAACGATATTCGAGGTGAAACAAGAGGGCTCCTACTATCTGGCGGACTTATGGAATTCAATTTTCTATCCGGAAATAGATTTTTATTATTGTTAGGAATTCGCTTTTTGCCGAAACACACTCTAGGTTTGGTAGTCGAAGCAGTCTCATCTTCTAGATTATCGCAAGATGCGGTCAGACGTTGATGTTCAGTAGTTTTACGTTGAAGGTTTATAAGAACTGGATGTGATAAGTCCTTTGTCTGCTGATTATTGTTGACCCCTTTTTTTTTATTATGTAAATAATTTTGTAAATATATTTTTGTGAATACTTTAAAAGATAAAGTTATAAAATAATAACAAAAACTGCATATTAATTAGTTTCCAGTGATCAAAGTATTTTTTTTTAAAAAAGAATTGATCAATTTATTATTTATTTCATAATAGAAATAATTGACAATACAAACTTGTTTTGATTTCCTCGGTATCGCTACTAGATTCTCCCATGTTAGGCAAACTGGCATCGGAAGGGTTGCTTTTGAGCCATGATTCTATCCTTATTTTTCTATCTGTTTTCTTATCGATCATCTCTGTTCGCACACCCTTTTTCTCTAGATATCTTTCAAATTCTTCTAATTGAGCTCTCAGTGAATCGTCCCCGTTGCTTTCATATTCTTCGTAATCGTCATATTCATCATAATCCTCGTGCTCTTTACATCTATTGTGGTAACGTTGTTGATAGTTATGTCGATGCTTAGTAGCAATAGGCTCCGTATCCGAGTCAGATTTGAAAGGGGTAGGTAGAACCTTAGCCAAATCATCCTCTGCTTTTTTCCACCTCTCGTTGACGGAATAATACTTGTTGATCTCTTTGATGGGGCAGCGTTTTTCTTTCTTTAGCTCGAAAACCTTGCGAAAGTATTTACAAAACTTGTCTGTGAAGGCTTTAAACGAGGGGGGTGGCGAAACCCTTTTGCGTCGCAGCCATTTAACAAATTCTGTGAAATCGGGGTCGGTCAATTCGATGGCTGCATTCCAGGGGGAGTTTCCAGTGAGAATATAAAATACCAAAACACCGAAGGCCCACACATCTCCATAAGGCTCTGCAGGGTAACCCTCTTGGTAAAACTTGTCGCAAATTTCGGGAGCCGAATAGGGATTCGCTTTGGACAACTTCTTAATGAGCGATCCCCTTTTTAAGGATTTATCGAAGCCGGCCAATTTAACTCTGTATTGACCTATGATTTGGATGAAGGGAGGTGTTTGCTGAGACGAAGAAAGTGTACCTATGGTAGCGAGGGAAGTGAACGCGTTGCTTATGTTAGAGAAGGATGGCGACCTGTTGCTCGTTGTATTTACGTTAAGATTGTGACCTGCCGTAATAGGCTGTGATAATGGTGATAAATAATTGGTAAAAATTTGATTGGGTGGTGAATATATAGAATGAATGTTTGACTGGGAGATAGGAATCATTTTGTAATCCTCGTGCTGAAATACCAACACGTTCTCGGGCCTTATATCGCAATGGATCACTTCTTTACTATGCATAAAGTCGATGGCCGAAGAAACTTGCCTGATGATATCTCTTGAAGCGGGACTTTCTTCCAATCCTTTCTTTTTTGGCACCCAATCAATCAAAGTACCAAACGGGGCCACCTCTTGCACCATTATGTATTCCAAGGGCGTTTCGTAGGCTATGTTGTAAGTGTTAACTATATTTTCGTGAGCCGATAACAAATAACTATAGAGAACCTCCCTTTGAAAGTCTCTAGTTTTGACATTAACTTTTTCCCTGCACTTAAGCACTATACCATCTTGCGAGGAGGAAGGATTAAAGTTTTTCTTATCGCGGGCTTTGTAGATGGGTCCCATAGCACCATGCCCTAAGATATCTAGAATTTCAAAATTTTGGTCTATATTGTCAATTTTTTCTATGTGTATGTTGAATTTTTGTTTGAAACTCATTAGATTATTATTGTAATGATATGCTTTACTATAGGCGGAAAATGGAGAGGTCGACGTTTGTAATTAAGTCTTATAGCCGGAAATTTATGGCATTCACAAAGTTTATCATCATGTTTTATTATATCGAAGGCGGGGGGGGGGAGGCGGTGTTATTATCACGTTTTAATAAATATACTAATATCCAAGAGTAATTCGATGACCTCCAATAATTTTAGTAGAAATAATTGCTCTTTAACCGATGAAATACAAGAATCTTTTAAAAATATATAATTGTAAAAATCAATATAATTTTTAAAATATAAATTAAAATTTAATAATCAAATCGTGAGAAATTTATAACACGGAAACATACTTGGAATACATTTTCGACAAAATCAGATATTCAATTTAAAAACATACTCAGAAAATTATTTTTCTATTTTTCCAACTATAGAAATTATTTATTTTGGCGCGTTTTTAAATTTCAAAGATCTGAATTTTATCGGAAATGAATTTCAGCGCGCGGTAATACCTACCCCATAAATTTCAGATTCCATAAAAAGATAATACACATTCCAGGTGACACGTAAGGATGCATAATTATCCCTCAAAAAATATGCACATATAACAAAACTGATATATCAAAAGTAATTGTTATTAATTTACATTTATAGGATTTCTTTTCTTTATAAGTGAATAAACATTTTATCAATTACTTTCTCTAATATAATCGTTTGCTTATTTTTTACTATAATGTGTGGACTTTTAATGATTTGTGAGGAATATTTCCAGAAATACCTTAAAAAGGATACCTCCGATAAAAAAAATATTGTGCATTCGTATAAAACGCTTTATTCGCCTTAAAACCATTCACGCAACACTTAAATTAGATAAATTATAAGGTAAAAAATACATCAAATATATAGTGTTTAATCGGATTATGTGGTTGTAGTTCATCTTTATAGCCTTAAACTAGAAATCTTATAGAATTAGATAATCTATAAACATTAGGTTATAAAAAGATACAAAAAGATTCGACATATTCAATCATTTTTCTAGCTTGAATAAAATGTCTAAATTTTTTAGGAATAGGACCCATCATTTCAAAAAAAAATTAAAAAAATAAGAGTCGTATTTTAGGTAAATTTGCACATATATTCTCAATTAGCTTTGTAAGCCAGATTAAGATTATAACTAAAAATAACATTATGCAAGCCTGGTGATTTCGCACATGGCTGGCAGGAATGCTTGGGGCATCTATTAGCCAAATCTTGATGCTTACATACTATTATTATAGATAATATCTTAATAGGACCGTTTTAAAAAATCGACTCAAATCATGGTTTTTTAACAACACGATTCTCAATTCACCGTTTAACCTTAACCATAAATTATTATTACAGAATTATTAATAAAAGATATGTAATTTTTCCAATAAACAATAAGATTTACACAATAACAAAAAAAGATTGAAGAATTATACTTATTTTTACATCTTTTATTTGTATAATTAAAATTCTTTCTTATCTTTATCTTTGGAGTAAAAACTTATAAATATAAATATTTGAAAATGAAAATAAAAAACTATGAAAAACATTTAAAAAAACAAATAAGAAAACGTATCGATCAAAAATTCGACTTTGACGCTAATATGAAAAAAATGGAATATTTTATTTTGAAAGAAAATAAAAACCGCATAATATATCAAATGATAATCCAATCTTAAAAGGAATGCATTGTTATATATAATATATATTATAAATTAATATATCTAATATAAAATAAATATTCAAAAAGAAATAAGTCATGAATATTAAATTTTATCTGTCTAGATATATATATATATATATATGCAATCTATCTATTATATTTCGTTATCAACTTTCATATCATTTTAATGTATTCAAATTTAAGGAGCACTAAATAACCCTATTGTCAATTTTAAATCAAATCTGGGTATCGGGTCCAATCCTGCCCCGACCCAATTCTAATTCGGAGTTGGTTATGAATTAAAAGCTACGTTTTTTATGCAACTCCCAGACCCCAAATTTGAACCTGAACTGTTTTGGAGACCAGGGGTTAGAGGTTACCCTATATTAGCATATTCCAATTTGGTATATAAAATTTTGAAATAAATTGTATAACTATTAAATTTTCATCCAATAGTGTATTTTTTTTTTTGATCTCCTAATCAATTTTTCATTTTTCTTTTAGATTATATAATTTTTATATTACGGAAAAAATATTTATTCAATTACATTTTTTATGATGCTATTTTAGCTGCGCCTAATTTCCCTCTGCTATCCTTTTAAGTTACTAAAATTTTTATTGCATTGATACAAATAAAATTTGAATTTTGTATATGTTGTACACATTTAGAGTCAAAACAAAATCAGCTTTTTATAGCTATAAAAAATACCTCTTATAAAAAGACTAGAAGATTACCAATCAAGAATGATAGGTGAATCAGAATATTCTCCTTTATTTGATCACGAGTAAATAAGGAATTTCCTTTATTTTATGAGGTGTTAATAAGAAATAACTATATTTTGACGAGAGGTAATTTCAGACATTTTCCGTTATTTTATAGAGTATGGTAGCCAAGTATATATTGGGTACTTTCAATTGTGTAAAAATTATTTGAACGATATTTATAAATCGTATTATTTTTTTTAAGATTTCAATTTTATTTGAAAATATTTAATATATATTTTGAGCTACGATGATTTATACAAATAACCGAATCTAAATCACCCTCTCACCAAAACATAGGTGTCTACATTTCTTATTCACATTTCATGGAATAAAGGAATAAATTTTTGATTCGCTGCTCATCAAATGAAGGAGAATATTTCTGATTTACCAGGTGATAAAAAATACTTTTTTTTTCTTCTAGCCGCCTTAAATATCGACGTGGGCAAAATGGGCATTCGGTCTTTTGGCCAATCCGCCATTGCCTCCAATCGAACAATATCCATTATTTTTATTCCAAGTTCAATCATATCACAATTTAAATAAGATTAAATATCTTCTCATGTATTTTTCATCTTTTTTCATCTATCCATCTCTTTCCCATTCTCAAAAAAATAAAATTGTTTTACCAATAAAAGAAATCGACCTTGAAAATATTGCAAATTTAGTATCGAAACGCTAATTGTGCGCACAAAATGAGCGTTTCAAAAGCTGCGTTGCAAGCGCAGATTATGCATTTCAAAATGACCTCGTGCAAATTGGTAAAATTACCGTCTAGCGTTAGCAACCATTTATAAAAACGCAAATAGGTTTTGCTTTTTCATTACTTGTTTATCATTCTTCGCTTTGTAATATTATATAAAAAATGTAATATAAATAACTTACATATAATCCTAAAAAGGAATATTTAGAAATTTAAGAAATAAGAAGGCAGACGATAATATAATTTTTAAAGACAAATCCTTTTTTAGAACTTATTTAAAATATTGCTACGATATTAATAAAAATTCAACCTCAATTTAAACAAGGGATGCGTAATTTTTTGTAACCGTTCAATTTGTGTGTACTATAAGGATGTTTTTGAGAGAAAAAACATTTAGAAATTGTGCCTTCAGACCACAAGAGAGTGGGATGCGATTTATATTCAAAATAAAGAATAGTAATTTCATATAAAGAGAATTCATGTCTGTCATATGCCTAGATCGGCCTAGACCGTTTTAGCGGACTGGGTTGGAATTTCATTTGGATTATGATATTAAAAAAAATATAATCAATAAATTATTATTTTTATAAATTTATTTAATTTGAGAAGTTGAATAAAAATGTTTAAAACTTTTCACGAGATTATTATTATTCCTATAAATAAATTATAAGTAATTTTTCGTGATAGGATTAATATATTTTTTTAAAAAAAAAATATTATAAAAATTATTTTCGATTTTATAAAGTGAAAAAATTTATCGGAGCATTAAATTTTGTATTTGCCATCGGTAATAATGTTTTACGATTCACATATTAGTCGAAGAGAATCAAAATAAATATTAGTTAACATTTATTTACGAATAATATTGATTAATGGTTTTGAATGAAGATGTTTTATAATTTTTTTTGCCTTTTTTTCTAAAGATTAACTAGACAAACTAAATCATTTCAAAAATTCTAAAGGCCTTAGTTGATACTGCATCGAGCCTATTAAAAATATTTTGCCGGCCCGGCCCGGATTTATTTAAATATATAAATTAATTTTTTATAATTACTCAAAATAAAAAGATATATGTTTTTATACGGCGTCTAGTTTCTATAAATAATATCAAATATTTTTTTTTTACATTAAAAATTTATAATTGATAAATTTAGATATATTTTAAAAAAATTCCAAGGCCCGACCCAGTCCGAACCCGATTTCTTTTTAAAAAATAAGGCCAAGACCCGGCCAGAAGCCTACATTTGCAGATCTCTAATAAGAACTATGAGAGAAAAAAAAACATTATCCCCTTTTCCCTTGTTTATCTCTGTTCCACCCCAAGAAATGTATATATTTTTTTTAAGGTTTCTCAAAATAATAAATTTATTCCATTGGTAAATATTAGTAAAATTGTGAATTATTGATTAGACAGATAGGCTACTATCAATAATCGATTATTTAAAAAAAAAAAATTCTGGCAGTATATTGATTTTGTTCACGAATATGACTTAATTCCTTTCAAAAACAAATCATATATTTTTTTTTGTATATTGTTATAATTATTATAATAAAATTAAATTAGAACAGTATGGGGGGGGGGTTGTAAGCAAGTTATTACATAAAAAAATATATTTAATATATTAGAAACACTTTAGATATTTTAGTAATTTATTCATTAATTGTTAAATTATTACTCTCATTAAAATTTTTACCAATTCTTTATGTTTTCTATTTAATGGCGCATTCTGAATTTACCTATATTCATAATAAACTAAATTAAATCAGTATTTTATAATGGTCTGAATATATTATAAAGTGAGATTTGATTGAGAGTATTTAAAAAAAAAATTTTAATCAAGGGTTCATCAAAACTTGATTGGGTCATGTTAAGACCGTGAAAACAGTTTCTGGGCAAAGGCCAACGATTTTTAAGCAATCCAAGCCGTTTTAATAGGTTATCTTTGGGAGTGATAAAGGCAAAT